ACCTTGCCCCACCATATCTGTATGAACTGCTTCAGCCTTACTGTCCACCCCGATCCCTACGATCAGCTGATCCGTTGCTGCTGACAGTCCCTAAAACTAGGCTGAAGCTCAGAGGTGACAGAGCTTTTGCTGTTGTTGCTCCCAGGTTATGGAACAACTTACCCCTGAGTGTCAGACAGGCCTCCTCTCTTCCTGTTTTTAAATCTCTTTTAAAAACACACTTTTATGCTTTGGCTTTTAACACGTGATCTTATCTTTTATGGCATCTTAAAACACACCTACCATGAAACTGGTATATGTATGTTTTTACATTTCTTTGTGCATGCTTTCTATGTTTTTATTGTCTTAATCGACAATATTTGTTTTGTCTTATTGTAGAGCGCTTTGGCTACCCTTGTGGTTTTTAAAATGTGCTATAGAAATAAAGTTGACTGATTGATTGATTAGGCTTGTTCTTCAATTTCAGCTACATTTCAGAATGTTCTTTAGCTACGGTGATTTCAGCCGTTTTTCAGCAAGTTTTTTTGCAATAAGCATTCACACTACATTTTCACAGGAAATGCAATTTCCCTAGTTTGATATAAAAATGGACATATTGTACATACATGATTTTTTTGTTTTTATAATTGCAACAACATAATCGCAACATTTTGCAATTAATCTTAGATCGTTATATTTCAAGGGCAGTGCATTTATGCCCTGCATGCCAATAAGACATTTGTCCAATTAGATGGACCCTCGCTGCACGAGCTGTCCACATGCGTTTGAACTCTGACTGAAACGCATTTAGAGTTGTTCTATCAGCAACTGGTCTTAAAACAAGGAACCTTCAAATCAACTGGAACACAAGAGCTGTCAAAATAATTTACAACGAGCAGACTCTTATTTGCACTTATTTGTTTAACTCCTACCACCTTCTAATAAACTGTTCACAACTTTAAAATGATTATTTTAACATAAATATACACAATTTTTCAACAGTTTTAGTTCTATTACCGGATGAAGAAGCGCCACAGGGTCCAGATGAGTATCAGAAAGATTCCTAAGAACCAACACTGCATGATGAAGAAGGGGATGGGCAGCATGAGGGTGTGGGGGTCGTACTTGACCACAATGAGGAACTCTGTCACGGTTATTGCTGCCACAAGCCATGCTTGCTGGCCGAGCTTCTTGAGGAACTTACTGTTGGAGAACATTTTGAAAAACAGAGATGTTTTTACTGTAGATACGAGGCTCTGAGTAACACCAAACACATGTTGAATAACAGCAGTGCTGCTGTGGCCGTGTACAAAAAGTTCACAGTTCAGAAAGACTGAAACTCACGGGTCATCCATGAAGTCGTAGATCTCCCGCATGGCCACGCCTCCGACGTTGACAAAAAACACAAGGCGGAGCAGCACCAGGTAGTGTTCGGGAGGCATCCACAGAACAAACTTCAGGTAGAAAGTGTTCAGCTCCGCCAAGAGGAACTAACAAGGAAATTTGAAAAAACAAAACATCTTAATTCAGAAACAGTGAAGATGCTAAGGAGATAAAAAAAAAAGAAAAAAAAAAAAAGGGTATAAAAACGAAGGGGGGGGGGGGGTAGAGCCCAACACATATGGAAATTTTGGCTATTGTCGATACCAATATTGGGAGGGGAAGGCAAATGCCAATAACAAATATAATGGCTGAAAATTTTGGAGCTTTTTCCACCTCCAAGAATCTAAATAAACAGTGAGTGGAGCTCGATTGTTTATTTAGCACAGTGTTAGCAACCATGAAGCTAAGCTAATCAGATCCAGCTAAACGTACTCCCACAGTAGGTTTACAAAGTGGTGCACTGGTCATAAAAACAGTCTTCCTAAAGTGCGTTCACATTTTCATTCCTCCACGATTCACCATAAAGCTATCATGTGTGATACATAAATCTAAATTAAACAAAGAATTGCCCTTCCCTGTTCATTTTTTAAACAGCCAGTCACATATAGTGAAGGTTTAATTAGTATTGACAACATCAAAGTTTATTTTTCTTTGTAGAGAAGTAAAGATTTCAGACAAACAATACATTCCATTTGTAGTGTGCTATGGGCTAGGTTAGCTTTGGAGATTCACTACAATTATATTTAAATACCGGGTTCTCTCTTTTTCGAGCTAATTACAGCCATGTGACAGAGGTAACTGTCCGTAGATGGTTTAATCAGTGACATGAGACGTTAATTTTCTTTGACCCATCAAAATAAATGTGGTCATTTATTGAACAGAATCAAAATTTTACATCAAAACATTGTACACTTGATTAGACTGATCTGGTTCTGATTAATAAAACTTGGCACGTTTTACTTAATAAAAACAACAGACATTTCTGAAGGCATCTCGATTAATTACTGGCAAGATAGAAGTTTAAAGATGGGAAAAATGGAGGAGTTTAAAGGAAGATGTTGAAGGAAGATGTATGTCTGTGTACCAGAACAACACGCTCCTTTCAAACGCAGCTCGCCGCGGTACACTTCGCGTGAAGCTCGTGAACAACTCTTTACCTTGGCAGAGGATGGGTCCGCTACGGTCAAGAGGTCCCTGGCACGCTACCTTTCAGCGTCTCCTCAGGGCGCCTGCGACTCGGCAGAAGTCGTGAGATACTCCGTTCTACAGAACAAACTTCCTCAGAAGTTGTAGGGCGTTCGCCCGGGGGAAGTCACAGCGAGGCGCCGTGCCTCCAGCAGAGATGGATGGCTCCATCAGACTGGAAAACTGAGTCCGAAGTTCCATTCAGCAGTGGAAAAACTCCAGAACTCCTGAACAGCTAGAACTTAAGAACAGAACTTCATTCCAGAACTACTCAGAAGTTCCAGGAAGTGTCGACTTTTAAAGAGCTCTGCTTCCGGTCACTTTAGTACGTCCTGATTGGTTGAAGGAAACAACAGGGGGGTGGTTCTAGTGATGTCAGAGGGTCATTACAAGTCAAGAAAACAGCAGAAATGTTTTAGGAACAGACAGAGAAATGTTTTGGCGAAGTGAGAAACACTGCAGGTGCCAGTTTTCTTATTTACTGTCTGAGACTTTTAAAAACATGACAGCCCGTTCTAACAACTTGTTTTTGACTGTCTCCGACTTTTGACCGACATCACTACTTCTCATTTCAGACAGAAGATCAAAATGCATAATTACTTTGTAAATAGACATTTAACTTGATTTCTAATTTAAATGAGGATTAAAAAAATCATTAATACGGTTTCACAGTTGATTTAAAATGAGTGGTTCACTTCAACATTTAAAAATGGTACGAACTAAACACACTTTTGATTTATCAAGATATTGTAAAATAGTGATGATAATATAAAAGAAGAGTGTTCTTTCAATTGATTACTTCAGGATACAATTACAGTCTCTAGATGAGATAATTTGTATTTCTGGATTCAAATCAATGAAATAACAGTTCCTGTCCCATGAAGGTCCTCAGAGGCAGGTTTTGGTCGGAGGCCTAGTTCACTACAGTCCCCCCTTTGGAAATAATCGCCTGTCCATGGGGATGAATTCCAACATGAACTTACGCCTCCGAATGTCCTCGATCCTGATATAATCCAGCAAGAGGAAAACAAAAGTCAAAGAAGGTAATCCCACAATGTTGTTGGTAATTCCATAATGTTGTTGGTAATTCCATTATGTTGTTGGTAATTCCATTGTAGCAATGCTTTAACCCCTTGGAAACAAAGTCTGTAATCCATTGGAAAAAGTCATATAATCCACAACGATAAATCCACAACGATTGGAGGTGTTGATTGATCAGCATGTAGAGGGGTTCCCTCGATTGAACTGCAGAGGCGACCACTGGATGGAGATTAGAGACCCACGGAGTTGTAGGTCCCTTCAGCGAAGGTTGCTGCTGGTAGTTCCCAGTGGATGCCATTCTGGTTCTATGTGTTCATGCATTTATGTGGTTTTAGTTGGGCTTATGAGTGGGATTTTATATAAGACCTTAATCTATATGCACCTGGTGTGTAAGCTATCATGGGTTAGATCAGCTACAGTTACCAATTAAAGGGTGGGTCATGCTGAAAAATTTATATAGGGATTTATACCTATAGAAGGGCATTCCAAACTATTTTTCCATTCCTAACTTGGTTTAAGTTAGATTTACATGGCAAAATATAGTTTGGTTCAATTGTCTGTTGTCCCTTTAGACGAACGACTTGAGGTTTGGTTTTTTTGGGTTCCCCTTAAATGTTTTGAAGTCTATGGCGAGACTCAATTGAAGGATTAGCTACTTGGCCTGAGGCCTGTGGGTTGCAGCCAACATGGAAGTTGACTTTGATGCCTAGCATCTTCCACAGTTCTTTCATGACTTCAGCTGTGAAGTGCGTACCTTGGTCTGAGTTCACCCTGAGGGGAAGTCCAAACCTTGAAAATACATTATTTATTAGTAACATAGCAGCTTCGGACGGAGTGTTTTTCTCTGGGTCAGTCAAGTACAGCATCGTCGAGTTTATCGCAGGATCCGACTTCTGAAGTTGGATGATGTCTGGGTCAGTCAGCACGGGTTGTACAGAGACTGTGTTGTCAGCCGGCTTGGCTGCAGCCTGTGCACGTGTGACTGCCATTACCTCGGCTGTAGGTTGTACTGACAGAGTTGCGAGCAGCCAGGAGGGGTCAAAAGACCCCGGAGGGCCGTCTGCAGCTCCGTCCTTGATAGCTGATTCATCTGTCAGCAGCGACAGTACAGCATCTTTGGTGTGGGATCCTTGGATCTCTACACCTTTAACTACCAATGGTAGGTAATATCCGGTGGGCTCTGACTGTTTCAGCTCACAGAGGAGGCTTTCTTGTTCAGTCAGAGTTGGGCCCACCGGTTGGGTCTCTTCGGTTTCACACTTTTGAAGGCTTACTTACCGGGACTGTGTTCTCTGCTGAGAGGTCCTCGGTGCCTTCTGCGGTGCCTGCTGTTGGGCAGTCTGTGACTGTCTCAGGAGGCATGAGTATTGGCAGGGGTTTGCTCACTCTGGCCAACATTGTCTGTTCACCATAATCTATAATCACCTCAAAGCGATTTATAAAATCCTGGCCGATCAAAAATGGGAATGAGTCAACCGTAGACACATGTACCGGGTGGTATAGTGTCATCTCGCCAACCTGCATGTGAACCATAGCTATAGCCGTTAGGGTTGTCCTTGTCTCTGCGCGGCCCTGCAGTTCTATAGCACGTTCTATGAGAGGTATTTCCCTGTGAACACTGTTAGCGGCGGTCCTGAGCTCCTCGAACAGTTTGGCTGACTTAATAGTTATGTCGGATCCACCATCCAGTAGGGCTTCATGTGTGACGACCCCTTCAAGTGTGATCGACAGGTTTCTAAAGAGATTTAATTATGTGTTACATGAGATCTGTGTTGTTGCAAAATAACGCTGCATGCTGGCACATGAAAAGGTCCGAGTTTTGAACTTGGTACAGACATAATTCATGCTTTTGGTGGTAACAGCAGTAAACAATCAAAACAATACGTCAAACAGCAACATGAACTCGAGTTTGTGCAGCTTTGAATATCTAACCAGAATAATCACTGTGAAAAATCACATGTTGCTGCTGATCTGTTTCATGTTGCTGTGTTCATTCATGCTCATCTGTTCACACAGACTCATGTCCGTGCTGCTGTTCGGTGTATTGTGTTTATTGTTTTTATGCCATTAGTGCTTAGCATATTTTTAGTTGATGTTTTTCTTAGTTCATATCTTAGATCTTGTTACTGTTTTTCTTATATATTTTATTGTTGGATGTAACTGGGACCCTGTGTACATAATTTTGTTCCAACACATGTACCACATAAGGTGCGATGACAATAAAGAATATCTGCATCTGTATAATACTTTCTGATTCATATATCCATTGTTATTATAATATTATTTTCATTATTTTTAAATCAATTTATTTTTCATTTTCTTATTTTATCAGTTTATTATTATTAATATATCTATTAAAGCTGTTAGCTGCACCTTTCTTTGTTTTATGCATTTATTCAAAAACAGTATGTAGCTTGAATTAACCACCTTTTTCTTCTTTCTAGTGAAGAGAAAGAGAAAAGAGTCCAGTAAAGAAAAGTCTTATTTCATCACTGAATGAACATGAAGAACTGAAGCGGACACAGCAGGAACAACACTTGTGTCTTCTTCTGGATGAAGCCCGTGAGACAAGGGACACACAGATACACAATCATTAGTTGGATGCAGTAGTTTTTATTTTTGTACATTTTCACTTCTTACTTTTCCTATTTAACAATTTTTTTCTTAAGTGGTGTCCTTGAACATTAAATTTCCTAAACAAATTTTACAATGTTAAGTTCATATAGTGTTTGTTTAAAGTCATACTGGAAGTTGAGAAGAATTTCCAATTGCATTTGATCTTTAATGAATCCTAAGAAAAGATGACCAGAATCTGCTTAACTGCTATTATGTTATACATTTTTTGGTTCTAGGATGAAGTGAGAGAAAAAGTCAAAAATTC